CCCTACACTCTTTATAATTTATATCTTTCTCATCACTCATCAGCTTTCGTCACACTCTTTATTTTTCAAAACAATAAATCATTGCTTAAATAATAAATAGTTTTTAAAATAACTTTCTATATTAATAATAAAATAATTTCCTTCACTTGATCTTCACTCTTATTTTTATTTTTTATTTTTTCTAAATAAAACATGTAATAAATAATATAAAAAAAACACTTAAATGTATTTTTTAATTTGTTACTTTAAGTCCTCCTTTAATGCCATGGCATTAACATGATGATCTGGTTCGCGTAAAAAAGAGACTTTTTTTTCTTCTTCCAAATTGTTTAAACACCCTATATATTTGCCTTTAACAACAAATAGTTAACCTTAAATTAATAAGATTTTCTGACTTATAAATGAAAGTTTTTTATATATATATTTACTGTTACTAAATAACTGGTGCATGTGTTCGTACAATGTACGAGATAAATTATATATAAAAAAATAATATTTATATTATTTTAAAAATTAAAAGTTAAAAGAAATAGCAATAAGAGTTATAAAGTTTCTTTTAGTGATTTATAAGTTGTTAATATATTAAAGAATGGTTGATGGTTACTAATTTTTCAAATAATAGTTTAAAATCACAATTGAAGTAGAATGTCATAATGTTGGATAAAAAATGCTAATTGCATGTAATAAATGATATATAAATTGTACAATATATGTCTAAAATTTTATATTTTAAAAAAAAATCAACTTTTATGATGTAGGTTTCAATTGAAAGGAAAGCGTCTCACTATAATTTAAAATCAAAACTAGATTGTCAAAAAACTTAAAATAACAATTTTTATTATCATGCTCACGAATCTCATATGTAAGTCTATAACTGAAGAAAGAAAATATGCTTCAAAAAAAAAACTGAAGAAAGAAAATATGATCACTTTATATTTGTAATCAACATAAATTATAATTATTTAAATACTATTCATAAAAATGTACAATCTTTTGTAATACTTAAGAATTATTATTAATCATTTTTACATTTGTATATTAATAAGTATTTTCGTTTAAATCGTTGTATATAAAATGATATTTGACTAATTAATGTGAAGCACTTACACATTATTTGGTTTAGATGATTTTTAGAAGATAGAAGTATTGGGTGGAGAAGAACCGGGGATTTTTTATTTTATTTTATTTTTCTTTTAAAAAGTTAAATAAAAATATAAAATAAAATAAATCAGTTTTACCCAACTTAACGAGTTATAAGATAAATGGCCATAAAAAAATTTAAGCTAGACCAAATCCATCCCCGTCCCCTTACCGTACCCGTCGGGTATGTAATTTTCATCCTCATTCCTGTCCCCGTCGGGTATCGGGTATACCCGTATCCGTCAAAATTTTTATTTTTTAATTTTTTTAAAAATATAATATTTTTAAATTATTTTTTAATTATATTATAATTATAATTAGGTTATTTCTCTATCTCATATTATAATAAATAATCACATATAAAAAAATATTAAAAGTTTTTAATATAATTAAATTGAAAGTGAGTATTAAATTAAAAATAGAAACGGGTACGGGTACGGGTACGGGTACGGGTACGGGACAGGTAAGTACATATCCGTACTCGTACCCGTACCCAATTTAATATATCGGGTTTTACCCGTACTCGTACCCGTACCCGGTCAAACCGAGTATTTCCCGTCAAAGTCGGGACAAATTTGGGTATTACCCGCGGGTACGGGTATATTTGTCATCCCTACACTTGTCTCATTAATTATTATCCTTTGTTATGTAACTTATGTTCTTAACATTATATTTAAACACATTTTCATAAGTTAGAAAGTTATTTTTAGTACAAATATCATAAACACATCTTAAATACTATTTTCCATAAAATAAAATTTTAAAAAAAAAACCACTATACTAATTTTGATCTTGAACGATGACGTGTTAATGGGATAGGTTGGTTTGGGATAAAATCATATTTTAACTTGTTATATTTAATTGAGATGGTTAGTTTGGGTTCTAATTTATTTTAAGATTTTATCTCAAATTTTATATTCATGAAAAGTGAAAAAATTCTTTTAATGACTAATTATTTGTTTTTAAAATCTAATATCTTGCTATCACTTTGTATATTAAGAACATATGTTTTAATTTATTATCGATGTTCTCCGATCAAAATTAATAAATTAAAATTATTCAACGTATATATAAATATGACTAAGAAATTTCACGACTTTTTATATCGTAGAGTATATAGTTATCTTATCAATTATATGTTTAAAAAATTTAATTATATATCTAACATAGTATATATAATTATATGATAATTGATAGATAAGCATATACAATTTTTATTCAATTTAGATAATTATTAATTTGTTTTATGCTTCTAAATATTGTTTTTAGTCATAAAATCTTTTAATTTAGGATAAATTTTACTTTAGAATTTAATTGTTTAAATACTAAATATTTTTAATATTTTTTCTTTATTGAGATATAACACAAAAAAAAAAAATTGAAAATTATAAGTCCCAAGGAAAATCATTACTCTAAAGATCAATTGGACATGATCTAAGCAAAATAAATTTGTTTAAAACGTCCTCTAATTAGAAAGTAACCCATAAAGATAGCATCAACTCGCTTAAAGCAAGTAAGATTACTCGCCCTAAGTGAGTGGAATTCACTTAGAGCCATCATAAGAAAGCTTTGAGGGAATGATGTTAGAGAGCAACCCTGGAGAATCAAATAATCTCACTTAGAGTGAATTACATAGGTGCTCTAAGAGAGCAAAATTCGCTCATAACTACACATAAGCATTCTAAGCGAGTCAAAACAAAGAGCATATAATCGCACAAGTTCGCTTAGAGTAGGTTACATAAGCACTCTAAACGAGCATAAATGACCTACATTAAAATGTTATAAAATATGGTCTTCAAGAGGTATATGTATCAATACTTTTATGAGTATAATTTTATATTTTAGAGAGTATTCTTGTAATCATAAGTCAATCAAAGATCTCTCATTTATAATGTAATTCTTAGTTATGAGCTATTGAATTCTCTGTTATTGGAGATTGAGGTAGCTACTTATGTAATTTATCTATGGTTTCTTTTAATAAAGTCTTTATTTAGTTAATCATTTTTATCTTATGCTTAATGCTTGTAATGGTATAATCAACCTAAGCATGATTCTATACTTTTTAATTGAGATGAAAAATCTTTTTTAAAATTACGACCTAGATAAAAAACTGATAACATTTATTACTAAGAATGATAATCTTATTAGTCTATTTTTTGTCCTTGACTTTAATATAAGTTGTTTAACAAAAATTACTAAATAATTGATATTTTTTTTAATCAACCTATAATTTCTTATTTAAGGAATTAAGTTTTAAATATAACCGTGGATTGTCGAATTAATTATATAATTTCAATATTAAATGAAAAATTGAGAGGATTTACATGAGGAAAAGTTAGTGAATTAATTCCTGACTATTTATTATAAATTTAAAATTTTCACAATTTATTGTTTTATTTTATTTTCAATAAATTTAATATTTCTTGTTGAATAATTTTAGATTTTTATTAAATCATCTGCTTAGTACCTAATTTTCATTAAACAATTATAATACAAGTCCTTGTAGATTCAATAACTTAGATTTCTATACAATTTACTACTTATAATATTAGTATATTTGTCAAATGCGTCATTATAAATCAGAGAATATCCCAGTCACCTTTTTTGAAATCTTTTAAATGACACACATATCTTCTCTCTAGTTTTTCAAAATCACTCAACTTCTTTAGAATAATGTAATTAGTTAAAATGAGAAAAAGAGAACAAATAAACATCAATTTATATGCATGTCTATCATTTATTTTTGAATTATGTATATTACTTTATCTTCTTTATGAAATTTTTTATTGTTATTCAATTTTGAAATAATAATTTTTCAATCTATTTTTTGAAATCATTTTCTGAAGTTGATATATTTTTTAAATCACAATACATTTGATATTTAAAATATAATTTGGAAGTTAAAATTGGGTAAAAAATTAAGTCTTGTTCAATTATATATTGACACTTGTATTAATAATTTTTTTTTAATAATACATAAATGATATTATCTTATATAAAGGATTATATGCGTCACATAAATAAATAATATTAGTGTTCACTTAAAAATTAAAAGATAAATATGTGTCGTTTAAAAAAATCTTAAAAAAGGTTAATGCAATGTTACTTATAAATTATAAATACCTCTATTTTTAATAGATAACCTGAACTCTTAAAACAAAATTTTATTCAGATAAAACCTATGTGTAGTCGTATATGTAAAGAAAATTTTATTTGGATAAAACATATATGTAGTCTTATATTTATTGTTGATACTATTTTTTAATTAAAATTAAAATTTTACCTTAATAATATGTGTTGATATTTAATAAAATATTTTATTACATGTGTTAGTGATATAACTCTAATTTTCATTAAAAAACAACAACATTAATAATACTTTGTGATACTATATATATATATATTACATATAAGTTTCGTCTATTTTATTTATTTTCTCTAACTATAAATTATTATTAAATTATAAATAGATTTTCCCAAAGTATTAATTCATGAAATACAAATTTTCACGACAACAAAGTTTGGCGTTTGCATAATTAAAGAGAGGAAACATTAGATCTTTTATTCCTTTAATTTGTTTTGTATTTCTTTGTTATTTTTATTATTCTTTTAATCATTTTCTTTCTTCTCTATCACAAACAATCACAAACAATCATTTATCACATCTCCTTCCTATTTCTTTCTCACTCAATGAAATATATACATCAATATTAGGTATTTAGCGTCAACTTTTTTGTTTCCTGCGTAAAAAATAGATATAAACACAGAGACGCAAGAGAAAGGTGCGTGAAATTATTAGAAGTGATAAACATAACTAAATTAGTGGCACTTGATTTCATTGAGTCACAAGAGACAGCGATATACATATACGCTATACTTGCGGTTCTTGTTCCTTCGTTTCCTCAACTTCTTGGGCGAACTTAGTGGCGCCATTCTGTACCATCTGCTTGCTCTTACCCCACAGAAGAATGTACAACCCGATCATCACCAACATGGATCCCACCACACTAAACAGTAAACAACAAGCACAAGCATTCAAGTTAGATAACATTTAAATGTTGGTTTTAATTTCTACAATGACGTGTTGTTATTTATCACATAGGTTTTAGAATTTACCTTCCAAGATGAAGCTGCTCATGCAAGATTGGGATGTCAATCATGCCTGACATTATCTGAACTAGAGGGCTGAATGCTGCAGTGAAGACGGGACCCCTCTTCTTCACGCACCATGACATCCCCACGTAGCACACACTTGATCCAACTATCCCCTGCAAACATAATATATTTCACTTTGTTAACATATATAGTCTCCTAAAGTATACAGTTCTTATATTCGTGCATGTCAAAGTTAGAGTGTATAAGTGGATGAATAAGATAGATAAAAAAGACGAGAGAGAAATTTACAAATATATTAAGTATAATTGCATGCCAAATGAAGAAAATAAAGTGAAAAATTAAATATATTTACACTATCATTTGATTCTTGTAAAAAAAAAAAAAATCAGAAAGAATATATAATTTTTTTGGAATATCATATCATAGTACTGAAAACTCGATCGGCCAGTCCCGTGGTTTGACCAAAAGCATCTAACTAAGTATATTTGACTTTGAAAAATCCATCAAAAAAGTAATTAAAAAAGTGGCTAAAAACTGGTTCACAGTGAAAAATATTATGGCTTTTTTGATTTTTTTTCTTGAAAAAGAAAGATTAATTAAAAAAAATTAGATAATTTTTTTTATAAATATTCATAAAAGAAAAATAAAAATAAAAAATGAAATAAATTTCACCAAAAGATATAATTAATTTATTTATAAATTTATTTATGAAAACTCTTTCATCTCTCGTATTAATTTTTTTAAATTAATTTTTAATTTATGAATAAGTTAATTTTATTTATAAAAAAAAAAACTGATTCTATTTTATCTTAGCTTTCTACAAGAATTTACACGAAAATTTATCCAGACTTACTTTATTTATATATATATATATATATATATATATATATATTTATTTATTTATTTATTTATTGAAAGCCAAAATTTGATTCTCTACTACTTAAAATAGCGTACTTACAGAATAAAGAACTGTGATTATTTGCATCTTATCCTTGACAATCCACGATGACAAGTTGCTGCCAGTGGAGAAAGCAAGAATAGCTGCTTGCATGGCTCCAAAGAAGGTCATGATGGTAGTGCTAGAATACTGGCATGGGTACCTCTTCCCTATCTTTGACTGTAAAATAAACCAAAAAGACCAAAAGAGGGTTCCCATAATCAAAGCTATTACACCAATGGTCCATTTTTGTGTTATTCTATTACTAGAGGCTTGGTCCATCGCAGATGATCTCATGGCCACTGGAGGAACTGCAGATTGATAGTGAGAGTCATCAAACAAGGGCTTCCCTTTGTAAAGTGTCAACAACAATGCCCCTCCTATGCACACAAATGTTCCAAGAATCTTCGCTTTCCCACCTTTGCATTTGATGTTCACAGTTTCTAATCTGCAGCAGAATCAAAATAAAAGGGAAAGGATGATGCATTAATTTATCCTCCATTAATTTGAGGGGTGATAGTTACTGAGTTAAAGAATAAAAATAAAGATATGATAAGCTTCTCTATAACACTACTAAAAAAGAAAAATGAAATAATTTTTTCAATAAATTAAAATAAATTTATACATTGATTAATTTGTAGAAGTTTCATTTTATTAATTTTTTCCAAATCTTATTTTTAATTTATACATAAATTAATTTTAACTTATAAAGATTAATTATTTCAATTTCTTCTTTTAAATATGCTTACGAAGAACTATGTCTAAACAAGCCCTAAAATAAGTTGTGTACGTATTGATATATAGTTTCATACCCAAATGGTAACGCCATAATGAATGTGATCACCGGCACCATGTTAACAAAGGCACAAGCAAAGGTAGCCGAGGTGTATTGGATCCCCAGAAGGAAGAAGTATTGTGTGATGGATGCCCTACAAGATAGTATTCATTAATTACGAGCTTTTCTACTATCATGTTAACCATAATGCATATTTAGAATTGAAATCACAAATAGAGATCGTATTTTTGTAACTAATTACCCAATAATTGCACTGAAGAAAAGGTAGCATAAAATTTGAAATGTGAGTCGTGGTCTTCCATTTCTGCAAGAAAATACAGTTATATATATTAAGATCTCTCTAAGTTTCCTTCATTATTGCAAATTGGTTGCAAGCTAACATTATAAAAAAAAAATAAAAAAAAAAATCCAAAAGGTAAGAGTGCCACACAGTACTCGAAGGAAAGAAATAGGTATAGGCTTTAGCATCACGTTAAATTTCATCTTAAATTCTATTGATATTGACTATTTGAGTAAAATTATCATATGAAATCACACTCCAATTATTGAAATAGGTCATGTGACGCCATCCAACTATATATGTCTTAAATTTCCAACTTTGTTAAAGACATTAATTAGTCTCGTATTGCATAGGGGATGCTTTTGGTTTACATAAAATATGAAAGGAAAGGAATTGAGGGTGCCTACCTTTCCTTAAAGTAGCCGATGGGGGCCAAAAATATAGTAGAAACTGACAAACGATATGTGATAAAAACCAAATGGTTCATTCCCTCTTGGAGGACTTTCTTGAGGAGAATGTTCACCATGGTTAAAGAAATATCAATTGCTATCATAACTAGGAAAGGTTTCCATTCATCACAATTCTTCATTTCAGCAATGCAATTCTGTCTCTGGGACAGAGTGGGGCCTCTCTCTATATATCAGAAAATGTTCAAATGGTTGCAATGCAACAAAGGGCTACCTGTGGATTTATATATATACCAGAAAAAAGTGATAATTAAAAAGCAAGAGCAAGATTACTGTTTCAAATGACACACTTTACAAGCAACTACCTTTGATGGTAGTTTAACGTTAGCGTGGAATATGCTTTCCCACATGTTATCTTTTCGACTGATATCTGATTGTTCCACAGAAGAAAACTATTAGGGAATCGTTTAAAGAGATTTTAGGTTGGTTCGTGAATGATGACCCTGATATAAACATTATTGGTTAATTTAGGCCACTGGTTTCATATTTACAATTCATCTAGACCCGAAACAGGTAATGTTCTTCATGTTTTGTGTACCCTTCTCCGCATTGAAACTTTTTTTTGAGTGACAGGCATCTTTTGGGTGGAACTGTGGCAGAAACATGGCATCTAATACTTTTATCTTCTTCCGCATCAAAAACATTGAAAGCTTGAAGAAAATGTCACATCTCGTAGCTATTTAGTCACTTCAAAATCTTTGAAGGAAAAAGAAGCACGCAACGAAGAGAATACCGTGACGCAAACCACGGGAAGCTTTAATTTGTGAGACGTGGCCAACATATGCCCCAGAACTGGGAGTTCACAATCTACATTGGATTCAAATTAGGGATGGCAACGGGCGGGTCGGGTAAGAGTTTTATGATACCCGTTCCGTTCTCGCGAGTCAAACTCATTCCCGTCCCCGTACCTGGCGGGTATGTGATTCTCATCCCTATCCCTGTTTTTTTAATATAATTAAATTAAAAATAAGTATTAAATTAAAAATAGAAATGGGGACGAGTATGGGTACGGGTACGGGACGGGTAAGTACATACTCGTACCCGTACCCGTACCCGTACCCGATTTAATATATCGAGTTTTACTCGTACCCGTACCCGGTCAAACCGAGTATTTCTCGTCAAAGTTGAGACGGGTTCGGATATTACTCGCGGGTACGGGTATATTTGTCATCCCTAATTCAAATGTCATGTTGGTGTTGTTAATATCATGGGCGACTTTAAGTACTTCATTTTAATGTGAAAAGATATTAGATAACCTTAACTCCAATTTACAATTTCAATTTTTTTTAACAAAAAATAATAGGATTCAATTTTGATACCTTCAAACTTTTTATGTTATAGTTAACGAGAAAATCAATTTAAATTTTCAATGTATTGCAAATTGTGGGAACAAAATCTTTGACTATATTCATCGGAAGAGACAGATAG